AGTTGGAGTCCTGGGCCCGGTGGCTTAAAACTCATGTTGGACACATGGCGTGCTTGCCCCAGATCCCAGGAGAAAAACGGAGAACAAGGGATTGTGGTGTGGCCTTCCTCCTTGTAGGGGTGATTTCTCACTTTGTTTTTTACTGTCTCTGTCTCTGTCTCTCTTTCTCTGGCAAGCACACGTGCATCCTAAGGCAAAAACATCTACATAAACAAAACAAAACAGGTTTAACAACTGACAAGAGTTCCAGTGATTTGTAACATTATATCAATACACACACACACATGTGTGCTTATATATACATATGTATATGTATATATATAATATTCATGTGTATGGATTTATTTATATATATATACACACACACATACATACACGTACATCTATATTTATAAAATTATATGTGTAGATTTATATAGATATCTTCTACATGTAACACAGATATTTACCACCACGAATGCTGCTCTTAGTTTTCTTAGTCATGAGAATAGCAAAATTTTACTTAAACAAAAGCAAGTGTCAGTGACAGTGACCTTCCAGAGGAACTTAATTGGAGCGAGTATCCCAGTATCTCAGTACTGTTGAATAAATTCAAAGTACATTAATGCCTTTAGGATGTTAATGTAGAAGCAACTCTCAAGGTCACTATGTCTTGTTCTTTACAACTGGGAGACACAAATGAGTGAGGAGAAACACGTTTCCTAGGATGGACATTAGCAAGGCTGAGATTAAAGACAAACTGCCAAAAACCTTGTTCTGTGCTCTTCTCGCAAGTCAGAAAATGTCTTGAAAGCATGCAGTTATTTTCTTGTCTGTTAGCACCATTACACGTTTCCTCCTAGGCTGAACCAAGTATGCAGCCACCTGTGCACTGTATGACTGATACACAAGTAGATAGGAAGCTGGAGTGTAAACTGTGAGGCCATCGGCCGACACTCGGGAACTTACAGTCATAAACAAACAAAAACTGTTACCATTTTCAAGTTTATAAATATGACATCGATTACCTAAGAAGGTGAGCAAGGGTGATCACGGAGGAAAAAACATGCCGCAAACCCTCTACATCGATTTTGAGGAATATTTTCAGTTATACCGCTTGTGTTTCCTAAGTGGGTGTCAGTCAGTCCTACTGCAGTGGGGTACTGTACCGCCCAATGAACAAAAGAAGTCATTATCCTCAGCTAGTATAAATATAGGCCCTGATTATCTTTTTAAAAGAAGAATTAAACAAAAATTATACTCAGAAACTCATAATGACCCTGTCAACAGATGAATTACCATAAAGTGATCTTTAAATCCATGAGAAATGTTGCCCATCATGATTAAGATAAGAAAGAGAGACAAGAAATGTATGTAAACAAGGAGAATGGGTTACAGAATGGTGTACCACAGCAAAGTGAAAAATCATTGACTAGGGCCAGCATGTGGCTTGGAGTTACGGTGGCTGGATCCTGCATGGCTATTTGAGTCCAGACCCTCCAGCCAGAAAACATGCTGGGCGCATGCCCAAAATCTCAAGAGAAAAATGGAGGAGGAGGGGTTGTGGCATGGGCATCCTCTTGGATGTGATTTCCTCTTTCTCTCTCTCTCTTTCTGTCTCTCTTGATCTCTCTCTCTCTCTAGTGACCACATGTGCCCGATAGCAAAACTGGAAAAAAATAGTTGACTATCCACTATATATTTCAAAATAAAAAGCAAAACAAAACCTAATAGAACTATTGTTGAATGGGCACAACATACTGTAATGTTCAATGTGGAATAAGAATATATCTGTATCGTGACTTGATAATTTTACATTGCTGTGTGTGCTATGAAAAACCATACTTTACCCTCCCCAAAATAATAAATAAAAAATATTTAAAAATCCAAAAGACCACAAAGACATATGAGAAGAGGGATGGACAATGGAGAAGGGAATATTCACATCAGCCAAGGTTTTGCCTGCGAAGAACACAGTGATATCAGCGATTGGTTGATAATATCATTCTAAACCTTAGGGTTGACTGAAGTAGCAGACTTGCCAGTTGTATAGTCACCCACATGGATGGGGAGGCTTGGACAGAATATTTTTTTCTGTCCATGAAACCATAAACTGGGAATGAAGAAAAGGAGACTCTCTCCTAGAACGCTCCTTGCTTTTATGCCTCTCATTGTCCCTTTCATACATTTTTCAGGGATGAATAGGAGAGACCCTGCTCGTCACTGCTAGACCGCCTGGGACTTTTCTTCACTGGCATGGCCACCTGCAGCTGCTTCCAGAACCTGCCCTGGGGGTACTTGGATCTCTCCCCTTTCCATTTAATGACCGTGAGCACCGTCTTAGCACTCTTCAGCTCTTTCACCTTCGTCTCCTTCACAGCTTTGTACTGCACTAAAATGACGTTGATGTTGCCCCGAGAGGCCATATTTTCTAGGCCAGCCTTGAGCTCCAGGAGAGCTTGGGTTCCCTGGAGCACGTAGTTGGGGCTTAGGACAACCAGGAGACGTCTGCTTTTCTGAATGAAGCTCAAGGTCTCATCTGTGACAACTGGGAAAGAAAACAACCATGGGGATTAGTGTTGGCCAAAATCTCGCCAAATGCATGGGGCTTGAGGAGCAAATGTAGGGACCTTAGGGTAACACACCGAAAATCAAGGACAATCTTTTTTTTACCAGCAACACTTTGAACAATTTCATCCTAGACCTAATCACTCTGTTCACTAAATGCTACTCTTCTCAGGGAAGATAGACACTATTTACACATACTCCAACCCAAAAAGAGTTCCAAATACACGTGAGACCAAAATACAGTATATTGCTATGACCTCGGTCAGCAAAAGCATTAATTGAGAATAAACAAGTTATACTGAAATCAGTTTCTACACATTGTGTGGCATGTTGGACCCAGTTAAATCAGCTCTTGAGCCCTTTCAACCCAAAGGTGCCCCTGTATAAACGCTCTAGTACCACTGGCATTCAAAAATACATTAGGAAGTCAAACTCTAGCACTTCGATTTTTGTTAATACAGGACAGCATGCACGGGAACCTTCATTTTGAAAGTCCCTCTCTATAATGAACACATTCTTGACTCAGACTATTGCTATATTGTTGGAATAAGAACTTTAAAAAATCTAGTCAATTGATTGACATTTTGGCTGGTGCTACATTCTCAGTTTGTTTTTCCTCTTCTGTTTGCTCTGGAGCCTCGATTAGTCCCTGACCCCTTCTCCTTAAACTCTTACCATTACTATTGAGCAATATGTTTCAGTAACTGTTACTGATCTGTTATTTTTGCTAATAGGTAAATTCTTTCTTTAAACAAAAAACAAAGATGACAAAAAAGAAGAAATGGAAATGCAATATAATTTTATTCTGCTTTTAAGAACTCTGACTAGCTCTATCACTAAATTCTTGGGACTAATCTATCTTCTCATGACTGCTTATCAAGGACTGTATAATATTTTATCTGGGTTCCGATAGCTGTTAACTCCAGAAAACGCACACAGAGCGTGCAAACCTGTATCATGGCTTGCCATGTTCCCTTGGTAGTAATTTTGCCCCTTAATATTAGTAAAGAAATTGTAGGGAAAAACTTGCAACTAAAATCTAGCCTGTGCAGCCTGGAGGGTAATCCAGGAATAGGTATTTGTCTCCTAAAAGCAATGCCACTGGAGCGTGACCATGTGTAAGCACGGACAGAGAGCCAGAGGGAGAGGACTAAGAGTAGCAGGGAGAATACAAAAGATGCAAGAACCAGCTGTCAAAGCAAGATGCAAGGGTAATGAGGTAGCACTTGAGCTCTTTGAAGAATTCTTCACCTCTACTGGAGAGTTTATATGCTATATCTTTATGTAGATTTTTCATACAGTAGATAACTTTGTTAAATGACTAAAAATGACTAAATGGAAAACTAAATGATTTGGGAGAATTATGAATTTGAATTAGTGGAATTTATACTTTGTCTAATTAAGTCATCATCTCCTGAAAAAGTTATAGTGAAGGAGAGAGCTTCTATGGGACACAAGTATTCTGGGCTTTTGGATGGTGATTAAAGAGATAAAATTATTGGCTCAGTTAATTTAAAATGCGGCTAAAATTGTGACTTGAGCCTATCTCAATTTTACATATAATTATTAAAACACAGGTTGAGCAAATAACTAATATAAACAGAATTTCAGGAAAAGAGAATTAGTTTGAATATTAGAGACAGTACATGAATTTTAACAGTATGACATTTAACAGAGGGTTTACAAATATTACTTGTGTGTTTATTAAAGAAGATTCAGATATACCATTAGTGTGTTACTGTGTGCATCCGAAAAGAAGAGACATTCTTTTATTTTAAAACATGCTGTAATTTAAGCTTTTCTTTTTTGACCTACTGGAATACACTGGCCTTTGTAACATTTAAAACTAAATCTCAAATGTATAAACGGGCAGAATAGAAGAAACAGATGGAAGAAAAGAGAAAGACCACATGAGGGCTAGTTAACTAGAAAATGAAAGCGAGAAAAGGAAACGAACAAATGCCAAAGGGAAATACCTTAATTTTTATCGGAGAGTAATATAAGGAAAAAAGTCTTTGTACTCTCTTCTGTGCACTAGTTTTAATAAAACTAAGTAAACTTCAATCTTTGTAAAAATCATCTTTTTGTAATAGTAAGTCTTCATAAACAAAAGAAAAATACTAGGCCAATCAATGCAGATCAGCCTATATCTTCTAAAATTCTAATTGTAGTAAACATGATGAGGAAAGCCATGACACTTGTAATGGAGCTCTAAGCCACTATTCATCCACACTTCTCTGACATGGAGTTCTTACAAGGGAACATAGTTTAATATGAGCTGAATAGTATATAGCTTACAATGCAGTATTATTCTGAGAGAAGTCAAAGATTTGAACACTAATATCCAAAGCTACCAGCATACTGCTATGCCATGCCTCTTGCACAGGATCAAAGCTAATGAGCCCTTTTGCCTTTCAGGGTAGCAGTCACTGGTACTCATTTGAGATACCTACTTCCCCCAGGCAGACTGTCCCGGTCGAAGATGCACAGCTTATATCCAAATTCATTCTCCAAAACTCCACGAAGGGTCAGTAATACAAATTCCTCTTCTTCAGCATTTCTTGCGTAGGATACATAAATATCGTACTCCTTCCCATCTAGCAAAAGGAACACAGATCCAATGTAAGCGAAGAAACTGTCTCAGGAGTATTCCTTTTTTCTTAACTCTAATTTCTGCCTATTAGACATTTTCATTATTTACATGTATGAATTCTATGACATATTCCAGTGTGATTTTCCAGTTGTGATAGGTCTCCAGGAAAAAGAAAATAGCAATTTGAAGGTGTTACTTTGAATATTATCTTAAGTGTCTTCTACTCTCAGCTTACAGGCTTGAGTTTTTATGGTGGATCAAAAGTGAGGTCAAGCTCATTCCACTGTGAATGACTGGAATCAGGATGCAAATCACAGGTGCTGGCAATTAATACTACCCAGAAAGTCTCTACTCCCTGTCTTACCATATCACTCATTAATTATTAGAATTATAAAATGCACAAAACTCTTTGAAATTGCCTAAGTTATTTATACCTGAAAAGATCTACCATTAAAAAATCACTTAGGGGGACCAGCAGTTAGTATAATGGCTATGTCACTGGACTCCCACATAGTCAACTGCAGTTCGAGTCCTGGACCCGGTGACTTAAAACTCACACCGGGCGCGGGGACCAGCAGGTGACTTGGTGGTTAGGGCGCTGGACATTCCCACATGGCCGACCATGGTTTGAGTCCCAGACCTGGTGGCTTGGTTTCTCACTTTCCCTCTCTCTCTCTGTGTCTATCTCTGGTTGAATTAAAAACAAATGCATGAATAAATAAAATTCAATAAAAATAATTAAATAAATAAAACCTTAAAAAAAAAAAAAAAAAACCCTCACACCGGGCGCATATGTGTACGTGCCCAAGATCCCGAGAGGAGAAAGGAGGAGAAGGGATTGCAGCACGGTCATCCCCCCGGGGGGGGATTTCTTGTGGCATGGTGGTTAAGATAGCTGGATCCGTCATGGTCAACCTTGCAGTTTGAGTCTGACCCATAGCAGCATGAAAACATGCCAAGGTGTATGTGCCCAAAATCCTTAAAGGAGAGAGAAATAGAGACAGGACTGCAGCATGATCTTTATATGTGGGGAGTGCTTTCTCACTTCTCTCTTTTCTCTCTTTCTCAAACTACCTCTCTCTGGCAAGTGGCAGGCGCATGTGGCCTCTGGTCAACGGACCACTCTTTTCCAAAGGTGTCCAATCATAAAAATCTCATTTAAAATTCAGATTCTGTTATCTCTTCCATAAGCTTACTCAATTAGAATCTTTTTTTTTAAATGAGAGATTTGTGCTATAGGGTGTGTCTGCTCACCAGAGAGACAGAGAGAGACAGGGAGACAGAAAATGAGAAATCACCCCCCGGGGGAATGACCACACTGTAATCTTTTTTCTTCCATTCTTCTCTCAGGATCTTGGGCAAACATGCACATGTGCCTAACATGAGTTTTAAGCCACAGGGTCAGGGACTCAACGTGTGGCCAACTGTGTGGGAGTCCAATAACACAACCATTTATGTCATCTGCTGTTTCCCTCACTTAGAATCTTTATGGGTTGGGCCACAGACTCTATGAGAAATGTTCCATTCTTATCATGAGGCATATTTGCTCTAGAGCAGTGCTTCTTAAATTTTAATGAGCACACGAATTACTTGTGAATACTGTTAAAATGTAGATTCTGATTTGGGGGAGTTAGATCTAAGATTCTCTTTCTAATAAGTTCCCAGTTCATGCTGCAGCTGCTGGCTTGTGGATGACCCTTTCAGCACAAACTGTTGACTTGCTCCATCTAAAATGGCAGACACTAACCACGTTTGTCTGTTAAACCCTTGAAATGTAGCTGAATCGAGACATGCTGAATATGGCAATACAATACGTTCTGAATTTTGAAGAGTTTTTTAACACCAAAAATGACCTATAAGAAAATCTCATTAATTTTAAACTATTAATTATATGCTGAAATGATCTCGGGAATGTATTTAGTTAGGTCATTATTTTCCCTTGTTTCTTTTTACTTTTTTCTAATGCAGCCAATAGAAAATATTAAATTACATATGTGACTTGCATCATATTTCTATTCAAACTGTAGTAACCAAGACTAGATCACACATTCACCTAAGAAAGGAGGATAATACACATCGGAAAGAGTTTCAAAAGTCAGGGCTGAAATAAAAGGTAATATGCTTAAATATTCCAATTAATGTAGGTTTTATCAAGTTACTATGATAAAGACGACAGCAGAAGAGATTTACATCAAACCAATTACTTACCTAAAATGGTTTCATCTGTTCCAAAATGGGCCCGGTAAAATAAAACCATCTCTAGCCAGTAAACGTGGTAAACGACAATGAGAATCACCACCAGCAGGACGGTTGCTCCAAATCCACATGCCAGTTCCACTGTGTACCTTGGAGCTATCACTGGAGGGAGTAACAAAGAAACAGTTGATTGCTCCCTGGTGATCACAGGGAAGAGCCGGATCAGCCAAGTAGCTGAGCCATACTTGTGAACAAGCAGACATAGCATGGTAGAGTCTACACAACATTTAGAAATACTACACGGTGTCGCAGTATTTAGACCATACCTCTTAGTTTCCAGAACCTACCATAGAATGTGTTTTTAACTAGTGTATGATCTGCATCAACTTTAATGACTTACACATTAAAACAGAATCACAACATTGGGAAGGGTTTAGATGGTCATTGAATTCAGCTCACAATTTGATCGTGAATCTCCTCGAAGTTATGTTTGAAAGTGTCATTTTATCTTCTGTTTGTCCCTTTCTTGAGATAGAGTCCTCACTGCTACCTGGAGAAGCCCACGATACTGGTAGAATTTAAAGTGTTGGAGCAGTTTGATTTGAGTGAAAATCTTAATGTGTTTCCATTAGTTTTAGTTTCATTTTCTTGTCCGGTATCATAGAAGGAATTTGATTCCCTTTCCTGAATACGTGAAAATAGGCCTAAGGCATCGTTGCTTCACTGTGCAAGTACAGAGGGCTTCCGCCAACCACTTGGTATGGCTGACTCCGAACCTGTCTCTAATCCTCACAGTTCTTAGAAGCACATTCCAAAGATGGGTAGCTGTGTATAGACATATTTCCACATTCTTGATTTATTTATTTTTGTATTCTATGTACAAAAAATAGTTTCTTTGGAACTAAAAGAGTGACAAAATTCCCAGTTACCTGATAACAAGACATTAACTCATTAGCCCTGTCAACAAGGTTTGTCACAAATCACCAACCACCTTTCTCTCTCCTATACCATTGCCCTTTCCTCAAGCACAATAGAAAATAAAGTCATAATTGCTCATGCTGCAACTTCTGGCTGAAATAAATAGTCCTTTTTCTTCTGTAGTTTTCAAGTCCACGTTCAAATGTAATTATGTAGCACAAACATTCATGGAATAAAACTCTTCTTGCAGCCTACCCTCTGCATGGTAGAAATCCTCACGCTTCGGCTTTTGTTAGAAAATTCTATCACGAATTTTGTATTGTGTTGTATTGTGTTGTATCCATGGGTCTGAGTCTCCACCCTCATTCACTTCCCACTAGACTCTACATTTACATCTCCAGATGCAGACTCTTTACATTCATCCTTTACTTAAGACACCTACTACACCTACTTTTTTTTTTTTTTAAGGTTTTTGCCATAGGGCACCTGTATTTGCCTGATAAAGAGAGAGACAGTGAGAGAGAAAGTGAGAATCAGCCCCTGGGAGGATGACCCCATCACAATCCTTTCTTTTCCGTTCTCCTCCAGGGATTTTGGGCATACATGCACATGTACCCAGTGTATGTTTCAAGCCGCCAAGTCTGGGACTCGAACCATGGTCTGCCATGTGAGAGTCCTGCACCTTAACTACTATACCACTTGTTGGCCCCAGGACACCTAGTATTTTAATGAACATTTCCAGATATAGCACTTTAGAATTTTTTTTTTTTTTTGAGAGGTTTTTGATATAGGACACGTGCACTCACCAGAAAGAGAGAGACAGAGAGATAAAAAGTGAGAAATCAACCCTTGTGGGGATGGCCAGGCTACAGTCCCTTCTCCTCCATTCCCCTCTCAGGATCTTGGGCACACATGCACACGTGCCTGGTGTGAGTTTAAGCTACCAGGTCCAGGACTCAAACTGCAGTCAGCTACATGGGAGTCCAATGACATAGCCATCATGCCAACTGCTGGTCCCAGCACTTTACATTCTGAGATATTTTAAAGATGTCTAGTGCCACACTGTATCAGAAACTTCATTTTCTTGCTTTATTAACTTAGGATACCGAATCCTGAGAATTTGAGGAAGGAATAGAATGTTTTTTTACAGGATCTGAAGCAGGGGATATCTTAAATTATGTCTTAGTTGATTTGGTCACTACTTATTGATACCTACCATTGGTCAGAAGCTTTTAGGGATACAGTGGTGGGCAAGACAGAAAAGGTCTCTGCCCATTTGGAGTTAATATTCTAATGCAAGGCTGTAAATAAAGAAGGACATAAATAAACAGGCCAGTTAATTCTAAATAGTGATCAGTGCTCTAAAGAAAGTCGGTCAGTAATGTGTTGAAGGTGACTGAGGGGTGGAGATGGGCAGCGGAGGTATGCTAGGTAAGGCCACGAGGGAAGGGTTCTGTGAGAACGGGGTGTCGCAGGTATTATGTGTTTGCTGAGACAGGCAAGAAAGAATCTCATTCAAAGATGGAATTATTACAGAGGCTCCTTGACACCAAAGAGCAAGGACATTTGCACAAGACCACCATGAAATTCAATGATTGATCCTACCCTGGCGGAAAAGTTCTTTTTAAAACATGATCCTAATGAGAAATGGTAAGCAGCAGCGCTGAGCCTGAAGTTCTCTTAATTAACGGGTAAATTGTGGAGCTCCAAGCTTATTATTCAAAATTCAGAATATCAATCCCGCCACCAGCATAGCCTGCGAATCACCAGTGTCCAATTATTACCAGGTACTCTGTATTCTTACACTCATTCCAGGAAGAATGTGGCTTTAAAATAAGAAATCCCACTGTACAGCTCCAGGAACTACGTGGAACTGTTGAGAATTCACTGAGGTCAATTCAGGTAATTGGTCTGAAAATCATGGTGTGCTTGGGATGTCAAAGCATGTGTCAACAGTGCATCAGGGTCATTCCCACTGTTATTTTCACTATTTTCTCGGTAATTTTGACTGGCTCTGGATGGACATTTCGTAATGGGGGGAGTGGGAGTTGAGGGGGAGGAAAGGTCATTGCGCTTACCAGAAATGGATTTTTTAAAATGTCAACAGAAATCTTGCTTAATGACCAGGAGATCAATTACTCTCATAAATTTGCCTCTGCCACATTCATTGTACTGCTGTCTATTTAATTTCTAATGCGGTTTTAAATTCTGGGTTGTGTCGCACAGTCACATGTGTCATATTTACAGACTGCTTTTTGTGGAACCACCTTGATATCAGAGTCCCTAATGCTATTTAACAAATTGTACTCTTAAATAATCCACCAGCCTGATTTTCTAAATGGCTTGAGGCATATGCCGGAAGTAGCTCTACGAAGCGTCCATGTAAAGCAATGCTGGCTTTCAGGGAAAGGGTGACCCTCAGCCTACATTTTCTGCCTGCCCCCACTTAGAACCTTTGACTTTCTGGCATGAAGATTTTACTCTAATGCAATCTCAGAACAAAGGGTTCCCAGTCAGGAGGGATGATGCAGTCTGACCAAACAAGACTCCTAAATTCCTTTACTCAGTCATTTCACTACTGATCTGATGCAGAGTGGTGCCAAATATACCCACTCCCTTGCTCTTTTCCCTGGATCAGAATTTACTCCTCCTGTTTTGCAGTTCTGCAGTGGTAACTGGGTCCAAAGCTTAAATTTCCAGTTAACCATCCTTGATTAAAATGGTTCAACCCCTCAGCCCTAATCTTCTCTCCTATTTCCTGTCTCACGTTCCACAATTCGTTTTTCCTCGGAAATTAAGTTATTTTCTCCATCTGTATTATTGAAGTTGGAGCCTCGTTACCCGTGAAGGCTCCTAACAAATGCCTGATGCCTAGATTTTTAAGATCCTGGCCACAGAACCTGTGACTCCTGTTTATTAAATTATTTGGGCTTATGGACATGTTTGGAACTCTGATAATGATCATTTTCCTAAATTACAAAGCCAATGTGTTATTTAATAATGGCAAGCTAGAGACCTATGATTGAATTAACCTGCAGACCTGATTGGTCTTGGCTATGACAGTGTGTTAAAACTTGTGCATTTTAGGCCAGACAGTGCCTTAGTGGTTAAGGCAGCTGGATCTCATATGTTTGACTGTGTGGTTCAAATTCAAGACCTATTGGCAAAACAAAACAAACAAACAAAAAAAAAAACCAAAACAACAACAACAAAAAATCTTATGCATTCTGAGGTTGGCAGTAGGTGTAATGATTAGAGGGCTGACTCCTACATGGTCAACTCTGGTTAAAATCCTGAACCTGGCAGCCTCCTTTCTCACTTTCTCTCTCTCTCTCTGGATAAATTTAATGATAGAGAATAAAATGAAATGAAATGATTCTTCAGGAATCATTTTGGCCTTAATATAACCTTCTTTCCTTAGAGAAAGAAGTAATCCATGCTGGACTAGCCTTCCCTCTATAATAGCTAATATAATGATTTTTCAGAGATGAACAGTGGTTGAAAAGGAATGTAATCTGTGAGGAAAAAAAGCACAAAAACTCCCACAAAAACTTTTGAACTGTGGCACAAAATGGGGAAAGCCAAAAGAAGACAGTGGTGACAATGAGCTGAGGAAAGAGAAATTAGAGCCCACAGCTATTGGGTTGGATTGAGTTGATAGGTCTGGGTACCAGAAAGGACTATACAGAAACGGAACTCTAAGGTTCCTTCACAGGCTTACATCAAGTCTTTGGCCAAATATAATGCTGTTCGTATTTAGGGTAATGTTTTATATGAGCAGACAAAGAACAGCCAGGAATTGAGCAACCCTAGAAGCGGAGGTGGGGCTGGTAGACGCTTAAATTCAGAACATTAGCAAAGACTTTGTTTAGCTTTGAGATATAACCATACCCTAGAGTGGATCAATCCATCCCAATAGAAAAGGCTATTTTAGACCTACTCTAACAAAGATAAGCAAGTAAACTGACAGCCTGCTCGAATAAAACTTAACACTTTCTTACAAAATACAGTTATTTATTGATGCAATACCTCAACTAGGCAGAAGAAAAAGCAAAAATGATATACTCCATCTTTAAAAAAAAGCAATCAATAAATGTAAAACCAGAATTTACTAAATTGATGGAATTATCAGATAAAAACTTTAAGATGTATATATGTGTTTGCTGAATTAGGAAAAAGACTATGGACAGCAAATTATTAAGAAATTCTTAATAGAGATAGTTAAGCAGAGACATGGAAGTTCA